CCCTGAGCCTGCCCTGACACAGCTCCAGCCATTCCCTGGGGGCTGTCCCTGCTCCCCCCAGAGCAGAGATCGGAGCTGCCCCTCGGGAGGAGCTGCAGCCCCCGCTGAGCTCTGCCCTCAGTCTGCTCTGCTCCAGCTGGGCACACCAAGTGCCCTCAGCTGCTCCTCATGGCCCCTCCAGACCCTTCAGCATCTTTACAACCCCCCTCTGACTGATGGCTTTTTAACTGCGCTTACTTAAAAAATAACAACATAAACCCCTTCAGCCACTGTCAGCTCTGCAGGTCAGTGGCACAGGAGGGGACGTGCTTGCTCTGTCCCTGTGGTGACACCCACGGTCACAGAGCTGGGAAGAGCATTGGAGGCAAAGGGCTCAACCCTGGGAAAACACTTCCAGCATCCCCTGGCACAGAGATCCAAGCTGGCCTGAGCACCCACAGCCCCAAGTACAACAACCTGGGGACAACTTCACATCAGTATCCCCACTGACATCTAGAAAGGAGGAAGGTGTTTAAGTTAAGGAATGTTTAAGTCATCTGATGGATTTGCTTTTAACTGAAATTTGCCCAGGACCATTTCCAACTTCTCCATTCCCACCCAACTCTGCTGTGTCACTCCCCTTCCCAGTGCTTTTGGGCCACCTGGATTTCTCTCCCTTCACCCCCCACCCCTCCCAAGCCACTAAATAAGGAAGAAAAATCACATTGACTTTTGTCATTATTTATTACAAATTATATTTTGAAAATTACTGTCTAAAAAAAATCAATAGATTTAAATAAATATACAGATTTCAGGATGCTACATATGGCAAGTGTGCAGTAAGTCACTTAAGGAGGAGACATTATCCACACAAGGAGAGATACATAGTACTTAACAGCAGTAGTTTTATTTTAAATTACTCAGCTCACATTAAACCATGTGCAAAGTTTCCTCTGGAACAAATCTTCTCAGGATTTTTTTTTTTTCTTTACAATGACTCCAACCTTCAGAAGGTCAAATTTTTCCCCCCTCCAGGGCTTAGAGCAAAATCAAGGAATTATTTTATCTGTCCAACGGAACTACACTTGCAACAGCCACGGATTTTGGTCCACCACCAACTTCCAGCAGCCTTTAGAAATGCTCCTGTGTAATACTGGGTTGGGCAGCAAGAGGGACCCAACAGTGGTTCCATGAGAGCAGTGATTTCCCTGCACTGCCCAGGGGCAGCTGCAGCCTCTGTTTCTAATGGAATTAATCTGCCCAGGCAAACAAAAGTGCATTTGTGATACAGCTCCAGAGCCTCGAGATTGTGTTTGCCTGCAGGATCGGTTTCTGGGTCCTGGGCTCGGTGTTTTCCCCAGATTCCCCTGTCCCTCCTCTGGGCCAGCAGCCTGTGTTGCTCCATGGCTCTGGCATGGCTTTAAATCCCAGCCTGTCCCTGAGCACACAGCTCTGGGCTCCCCTACACAACCACACAAAGGTTGGGGTTGGAAGGGACCTGAAAGCCCATCTGGTTCCAACCCCCTCTTCTTCCCAATCCTCCCTTCCAAATCCATCCTGTCTGGCTGCCCTTTGCATTCCCTCTCCAGGTCACAATTCCCACAGGGAGCTGCTATCCACAGACTGTATTTATTACACAAGAGCCCAGCTCAGAGACCTGACCTAAGCAAAGCAGCAAGCAAGCCTTTGGATCTCCCCCTCACCACCACCACCACCTCTCTGCCTCCAGCCTCTCCTTCCAGGCAGGGCAGGAACAACTCTGGGATGCCAGGCTGAGAGCTGGGAATACCCTGCTGAGGGCATGCCCGAGGAGATGAGATGGATTCCCAGCCCTGAGCTGACCCAGAGCAGCAGCTCAGGCCCAGCAGGGCTCCCTCCCCCTGGCTGTGCTGGGGCTCCTGCAGGGACAGCTCCACCTCAGCCTGCCCACCCTGTGCCTGCTGCGAGGGGTTTGACAGGGCTCTGGTGTGAGCCACCCTCCACCTCCACTACAGCCACTCAGGGACTGCAGGGAAAACTCCCTGCAGTGAATTTCTCAGCCAGTGAGTGCCACTGACCACTCAGTTGGCTTCCAGGCTTCTGGATTGTCTGTATATTTTTAATACAAACTGGGAGCTGTTCCAGCCCGGGAGTCTCATCCACAGGCACTGACTGACAAGAGAAAATAGTGCAAAGTCGGGCTCAGGCTGGAGGCAGCTCATCCCTGAGCAACAAGAGCAGCCAGAGCACCTCTGAAAGGAGCTGGGCCCTGCTCAGACACAGCTCAAAGGCAGAGCAGAGCAGGCCAGAGACACGGGCTCAGTGCTGGCACATCCAGCCTGCACAGAACCACCTGGGCTGGGATTCCACCCTCTGCCCACGACTCCAGAGCACAGTTAAGCTCGTACTCCTCCAGCAAGACCCTTGCCTGATCCAAAAAGGCACAATTCAGCTCCACAACACATCTAGGGCTGTATAGAGAGTTTTCCCTTTACAACAGTCTCTGGAGTACAGGCAGTGCTGGGTCAGCAACAGGAGCACGGACACTTCCACTTCTTCCCTTCCACTCACGGCCTTTCCTTCAGCTCTAACTACTGACAGCAGAGCTGGTGGCACCCACAGGACTCCAAATTCTTCTGGTGAACTTGGGATGCACCTGTTCCTTATCTCTTCTTCTTCCAGATGTTTTTCCTCCAAGGCAGAGTCGTTGGCTGGGCGTCCCTCCGGGAGCGCTGCGGATGTTTCCCAGAGCGCAGGCTGGAGGCAGCAAGGTCCCTGGGAACACAAGAGACACCATGTTCACTCTCCAGTCCATCTGCCCACTGCTCAGAAACAGCCTACACTGTGACATTTATCTGCCCCCCAGCAGGATTTCCCGTGGGGCAGAAGATGGGGGAAGGCAGAGGGGGAATTTCCAGCCACAGCTTTATTAAGCTCCAGAGGAGCTCCATCAAGCCCAACATCCCCTTTCCATCAGTGGCAGAGGATTCAAGGAGTTCTGCAGCAGCAGGGCATGACCCAAGTGATGCTTCCCCAGATCTGCCTTTCAGACACTGTTCCCGTTGCATCCAATTTAACTGCCAACAATTAACTGATTTGCCAACTCCTTTGAGCTCATTTACACTCCTGGAGTCTGTGTTTTTTGTTCCAGCAGCAATTCCACAACTCACTGATGTGAACTGAGAAAAGCTCTTTCCTTTGGTCCAAAGTTGCTGCCCCATAAATTATATTCCTCCATGATGCCATCCCCCCACCCTCTTCTTGTACATCACCCATCTGCCTGTGCCGTATCAGAGGAACTTCCTACTCCAATCAAGAATTACATTTTATGTGATAAGAAAATCCTCTGGATTTGCTAGGACACAAGCAAGCCTGGCTCCCTCAGCTCTGAGCCCTCCATTCTACAGAGAGCAGAAAGAGTCAAGTCTCCTCATTTAAAGGAGACAAGGGGAGGAAGTCAGGTCAAATCCAAGTGGCAGCTGCAGTCTGGGGTCACAGCTGCTGATTTTCAAGTGCCTGTGAGGGATGTTCAGGGTGGGTTTAAGTGCCATCTCACCTGAGAGCCCTCAGTAGGCCATGATGGGGAGGCTTCATGTCACCACTCTGTGGGGACCTCGTTGATGCTGCAGAACTCACTGGGAGCTTCAGACTCTGGAGGTACCTGAAGAGCAAGAGGAGACTGATGAACCACCCACATCCAGACTGGCTGTGCTGAGCCCCAGTGACAGACAGCTGAATGCATGATCTTGAAGGGTTAATTGCAGCTATTTGAGAGCTATTCAGGGCTCACTTTCCCTGCTATTCCCTTCTGTCAGACCTCTATTCACATTTAATGATCGGGGATTTAAACTATTGCCTTGCTATGGAATTAATGCCAGACCTCTACAATGCCTTTGCTCCCACCTCCCCACAGTGTACACACCCCTCTGTGCTGCTGCTGCAGGGACAGAACTGAGACCCACGTGCTGCACAAACAGAGCTGATCACAGAGGAGATTTGGCTCCGAGTCCCAGCTCCCAGCGGTCCTGCTCTGCTCCTCTAGTGTCCCAAAGTTCCACACCCTCTGCTTGCCCCCGTTCCACACGTGCTGCCAGCTCTGCCTTCCCCCCAGCACACCCAGCACCCTGGCAGCAGGAGGGATGGAGGTAACATTGCTTTTATATCAGCTAGGAGAGAGGCTTTTGTACAACCAAAACACCCGGGTGGCACTGCCAGGGCCTCCTGGGAGGGCAGTGAAAGCCACTAGACAGGTTCCAGCTGTTCACAGAGTCCCCGGGGAGCTGGAGATGCTCCAGCTCCTGAGCACTGTCTGTCTGTTTAACCCGTCCCCAGACAGCCCCCAGGACGCCCTGACTTACCCAGGCTTTCCCTGGCAGAAGGTGGCACAGATGTTGTCCCTGGAGTGCGAGCACTGGCACCTGCCCGGCGACCTCCTGCGCCGCCTGGGCGGGCTCCCCAGGCCGTAGGGAGCCGTGTGCCTGGGAAAAACAAAGGGATTCAGCCATGCCACCAAC